CTGTTAAACATAGTGCTTCTACAAAATCGGAAAGCAACGTTCCAACAAGAAATCTTAGTCACAAGAAGTCCTATAGCTTCCAGCTGACCATCCTATAACAACACAATCATTACTTCCAATCGGAATGAATGAATACTTTCCGGAAAGGGTAAATATGTTAGAAGTGACAGCTGGCCATTGGATAGCATGTGACCGAGTCAATAACTAGGGAGAAATATTGGGAATGGCCACTGGCATTTAAACTTGATCGTCAACTTGATTTGAGATAATTATCTGTTAGTACAAATATCAGTTAGTTCTGGAACTGGTATTGTTATGTTACACGAACCCATGCACATTACTTCAGGTTTCCTCCTGAAATTGAAAGTATTCAATCAAGTTCGTCAACCGGAACTGTATGCTGATGGTGATTACTTTGAGACGCCAGCCGATTACGATTTTACGAGCAGGGTAAGATTTCGCATCGTCCCTACGTTCTTCATAGCTTTCAAATACCTCAACTTTTCCAGATCGTTTCACATATCGATCGTGTGGAAATCAACGAATACAGCAAACTAACACAAAAGGAGATCTAGACCGAACACAGTAGAATATGCAGCATTAAGTAGAGACAGATTCGACTATTTTCTTTATTAAGACGTTTCCTCATTATACCGTTGATTATTTTTTTTCCGTAACATCTCGTGTACAGAATTTAAATTTTTTTAAACTATTATCCATATACTCGTATATGCTTATTGGATTTGTCTCACTACACCTTCTATATGGAAGAAAAATTTTACGTAGTGATTGAATCGTAACAAGTGTATTAAGCCATTATGCATCCACCCTGACTGTGCTGACAGCTAATATTCACTGTTATGGACCACTAAAGGGTACAGGCTTTTGAGGTTCCCCTCCCCCTCCCAGGACGAATCTCTGACCCCGAAAGATACCACAAAAGATGCCATTGAATTGAAAAGCGGCCCACTTAGACTTCAATAAGTACCCTAAAAGCGGCTTAGTCGTCGTATACTCCCACAGGCGGACGAGTTCTCACGGTGTTGTAGTGGCTGTACAAGTTGCATCTTTCGCACTGGGACGTCAGGTTGCACGCAGGCAGCGGTGTAGCGTAATAGCACACACGTGGGAAAAGCCACTTGTAAAACCACTGTTTAAACTCTATTTCAACCCACATGTCAGTTTACACATAAGTTGGCGGTCAATTTATTGAATGTTCTACATCGGGCTGTATCAGGGCCTCTTGTATAGACAGACAGTAGAAATAACATCCTCTTTGCCCAGCTCTGTGGTGATACCGTTGCATCCGTAGATCGTGCCAGCAGGGAGTTGTTCAATCTTAACAATTCACATCAGTGAATTTTCGACTAAAAAAGAGCCCAAACACACAAAGTCTGGAATTTATGAGAAAAGGTTTTCATGTAACTTAAAGCCTTCAACTTACTGCATCTACGCTTTCTTCAAAACGGGATTCGAAGATTTCTAGCAATTTCTGCCACAATAACTTTGCATCATCCTTTGGGAAGGACCTGAAGAAATAGAAAGATTTCATAAGCTTTTCGAGTGCTGCAAATCGCAGGTACAAACTTGGTTCCATTGATAATCATATCTGCCTGCACAAGTTCTGGTTTCTTCAACCATTGGAGTGCCTTTTTCGCCCACTCATCGCTCCATGCCTGTAGAACCAACTGAAGAGAACTCCAGCTGCATATTTAAAAATGTAAAACTGACCAGGTTGTCGCTGTACAGCATGTTCAAAGTCTCAAAAGTATCTTTCGACTCCTTTGGTAACGGTCTCTCTGAGCCTAAATATTAGCAGATCAATGACCTCGAAACGTCGTCAGTGAATGTGCTCAAAAAGAATAAGCTTTCTATGTCTGATTATATTTGAAGGTTTATACCTTGAGCTGCGATACATGCTTGGAAAAAAGTAAGTGCTATGAATGCGAACAACATCTTGAGAGTGATGAACTTCCCTCGTCCAATCTCCTATTTATAGATAATAATGACATTTCAGCTGCTCCTGGGTGCTTGTTGAAGTACACAATAGAATGTTGCTAGCACCAAACTTTGCTACTATCGATCAAGATATTCTGAGGATATCACAGAGACACAGAGACGCATCCAGTGAAATTTTCACTACATACTGAGCCGGCACAATCAGAATAAACTGCTTTCTGTTGGGATCTACGAGGGAGCAAACATCTAAGTCGTGCTGTATTCAGAAAATCATGGATAACCTCTTGACACTATAACACCTTATCAAAAAGCCAAACATCTCGGCCGAAAATTGTACTGCCAGTGGCAAATCTCTGTGGGACTACATTCGTGAAAGTTTAGAGGCGAGGAATTTCGAATAGGACTGAAGGCCAGTGAACATGGACCATGGTGACCCCTTTAAGTGCCATGAAGAACTTTTCTTTTTTTTGAGGTAATCTGTCCATATTAATGCCATATCCTTCTTCAACTCAGCAGATGAGAGGATTCATGGATTAGTTACCACCGATTTCTTCGCCTGCGTCGACTTCCCGTTATATCGCCTCGTTACATTATGTGCCTCGATAATATGATTGGGATACGTGAATCAATAGAGGGATGAAAGAGAGCCTTCACCTTTTTCGTGTTATTTTTTGGACGGAAGCTGTAGCAATATTCTCTACTATGTTATTACAAATACCCAAAAGCAGCTGAAATACATCAACATCTATATAAAAGATTGGGAGGAAGAATTTCGTCACACTTGATATGTTGTTTGCATTCAGCTTCCTTCCGAGCTTGTGTCGCCGCAGTCGCTCATATGTAGTATACAGTAGTTTTTAGAATGGACAGACGGTTCTCTGGAAACTTTTTGAAAATCGCTGAATCGCCTTCAGACTTGGTACAGATGAGTGGTTTAGATTCATAAAGTGGTTGTGTTCCTACGAATAGATTCATAAAGCTTGTCCTACAGGCGGTAGCAATCGTGAAAAACTAAAAAAGGCCTCCTTTCTCTTCTCAGGACTTTAGTGTAGAAAACTTTCCGTTTCCATAAAAGATTTTTCAATTTTACTGCATTGCATTGTATCGAATGGAATGGAATGAAACAGCCGAACTAGTAAAAGGATTCACGTTGCTAGACCAACTATTTGCACATTTTTGATGAAAGTCTCAGCAAGCGGAATGATGGCAACAGCGCCGCATTCAGAAGAAGTCGGAGTCACGTCAATGCTGCGAAGCCAATAGGAATCAATACTAATGAAAACAAAGTCACTTTCATGCAACCAGCTTGAGTACCGAACTACCTGTGCAATTTGGAACCTGGCACTAGTTCCGTACACCTTCCACGAGAAACCAGGTAGCTTTACCACCTATTGCTTGCTATTTCAATTCTTTCCATCAGTGGTGCAGTTATGGGACAAAGTTTCCATAGAAATTAATAAAA